GGGCAGTGTTTGTCTACAATACAGGTAGTCCTTGACTTACAGCAGTAACACAGTGACAAAAGTGACTTATGACTGTTTTTCACATTTACAAACATTGCAGCATCCCCTTGGTCATGTGATCAAAATTTAGATGCTTGACAACTGACTCGCATTTATGATGGTTGCAGTGTCCCAGGTCATGTGTTCCCCTTTTGTGACTTTCTGACAAGCAAAGTCAATGGAGAAGCCAGGTTGATAAAAACCATGTTGCTAACTTACCAACTGCAATGATTCACCTAACAACTGTGGCAAGAAAGGTTGAAAAATGGGGCAAAATTCACTTAACAAACATTATTGGGTTCAATTGTGGTTGTATGTCAAGAACTGTCTGTACTGCATTCTCACCACTGCACCACCATGTCTCATAATACCACCATACTACAATAATAATGGTAAATCTCTCAGAAAATCTCTGTTATGCAAACTACTTAAGACTTTGAAAATGCATTCATTTAAATGAATGATATGAATACATTGTATCATATGAATCATCAGATTTCAACACCTTCAACATAAATAGCAAACAATTTAAAATGTCAGTCAAAATGATCATACTATATATGCTTTATTACAACATTTTTACCTTTATCCTACTTAATTTACCATACTGCTTCCATGGTTACTAGGATTCAGTAGTTATACATTTATAAAATTGGAAATAAGCAATGTATTAAGGCTGTTTGTAATCCTATTTCATTAGGGAATAAACATCCAAGTATTTATGTTCAAGATTTTTTAATATATAAGCTTTAACATTCTGTTTCCCTTAAGTGACTGAAAACCGTATTACTTTAGGGTTCTATGCTTACTTGAAGTACTTGGGCAATTTTCTCAACAACAGGATACAGGTAATGAAATCCTCCAAAAATCAGGGTTTTTTTAATTGTGCTTGTATCATGTTCATTAATCATCCAACTTAATTAAACACTGAATTCCTGGATTTGAGGATGATTTCAAATTATTCGTGGTGGTTAAAAAAAACTGACTGTGAAGAGCTCTAGAAGAATCTTTTTATACTAAGTGCATGATCAACTAAATATGGTTCAATTTAAGTAAGTGCAAGTGATCCACATTGTGGCAAAGATCATTATCTTCACATATATACGGTTGGGAATCGTCTCTAATTAACCAGAAAAACGGTCGGGGTGGATAGCACAATGAAGATAATAATTATAGAGCTACAAAAAGACAAATTTATGGTAGGGCACCTTAGGAAATTATAATACAAATATAGAATGTTTCCACAACTGGAATATTGTATATATTTCTAGTGGCCACACTTAGAAAGATATAATAAAGCTTGGAAAAGGAACTACAATAACCAATGGGCTTCAAACACCTTCATATGAGAAAACCCTATTATGTTTGGGAGCCTCTAGCTTGGTAAAAAAAAGTAAGTGAGGAAGAACACGATTGAGGTATATAAGTGCATGAATCACAAAGAGAAAGTAGTCAAGTTGTTCTCTCTGATTGGGAGAAATCTGAATACCAGCTGTAGGAGAACAGCAATTGGAAAGGAATCTCTCTGCATTTGAATATCAGAATGGCCTTGAGTTCTCCAACATGAAAAACAAAATGTAAGACAAAGATTGTCCTGGCCCTTTTGCAGCTGGGTTATTCTTAAATGATTTTGCTTTTAAGTCAGCTCTAGTTTAAAACTATTTTTAAACAGCCCAAAGTAGTAAGGATGCAAGCTTACTGAAGTAGAAAATTTGTCCCTATGTACCACTGGAAACAAATGGCACTGATGGAAAGAAATAATAGCTGGGCAATTGCGCAGCTGCACAATCAGATTTTTTAAAACACATCATAATATAGGAATATTAAACATGAAAACATCTTCTAGTGCAAGAGAAGTTGCAAACACAACAGCCAGGATGTAGATTATGACGTAACGATTGCAAATATTTCTACTTGTTAAAATACATGTAAAAAGCTCCAGCAGAGATAATGGTGGTTAGCTTATCATACTGAAAATAAAGATTTTGGATCATTTAATGATGCACTAATTTCAACATGGAAACTAACAAAAAAAAATCTTAATTTGGATAAATGAGAGTTAGAGGCCCATACTAACAAACTATGCATGTTACGACACTGAAGCCACTCTTTATAAATAAAATGGCATGTAGGCAGGAGAGAGAAAGACTGAAAAAATGTTTTGGTATAGTCTTGTAATCTTCACTGAATGTTGAAAGGACTTTTAAAGGAAATATGTGCATATGTGATATGTGTAGTATTGTGGGGTTTTGTTTTGTTTTTGGTCCTCCTGTATCTTCTTCCATTTTTTTTGGTCCTCCTGTATCTTCTTCCATTTTTTTAACCTGCCTGATGCAGTTCCCTTGCCCCCACCTTTTTTTTACAGAATTCCAGCCACTATGTTACATTTAATTGATTTAGGCTGCAATCCAATGTATTCTAACCAGAAAAACCCAACATGGTTTATTTCTAAACTTGAGCTATTAATCTGCTTTCACTTACTGCAAATGCCTTGCACCACAAGCACAGAAGTAGCTGCCACTTTAAAGTTTACATTTTTCTGCAAAGATGTAATGCCTTTACGTAAACCTATCATTAGGGAAATGAAGTCTGAGAGCATTCCTG